AAAAGATGACTTTTGTTGTGATTTGGTGCTATACAAATAAAATTTGATTTGATTTGATTTGACAGTCATCAGTAGTTTTATTGTAGAATAATGACCGGAAGCTCCACATCTCCATCATGGGAATCTTGACGTTGCTCCTTATTTTTTCAGATATTAGCATGGGGGAGGGATCCCTGAGTGCTGTCGCACAACTACGGCAGGCTACAAGCCGTACTTTCCGACTTGCACCGTTTGAGTGAGGCACTGGTGAAAAATAGAGTTCAAAGGCGATTAGGTATGACGGACACTAACGGACGGACTCCGCGGGACGGTACGTAACGTTAAAGATGAGGGTTCCTCCGGTGAGTCACCGAATTTGATTTCATGACACTTCATTGCTCTGTTGAGGCTCTAATGTTACAAACCGCCATTGCAACGGCAAGCATTTACTCAGCTGAAGTCAGTGTGGATGGTGGTGTTGTATTTTACGGTGTGTTTCATTAGCTCAATGTTTAGGAATCCAGGGAGGTGGTGGCACTGTATTTTAGATCAACTACAACATGTTAACGCTCTCCTTTGCATTAAAGCTGTGACTAACAGTCAGTTAAGCGCTAGTGGGACACAAAATACTTATAGTGACTATGAGAATTTGACTGTTAACCTGAGGAGGAGATGTTTTTGGAATTCCTCCATACCGTTAAAACTGGTCGTTAGCCACAAAACCCGCCGAGTCGGTGAAGGTGTGACTGTCCGTCAGAGCAGCAAGTAGCTGCCGTCACTCGGCGCACGATTGCCCGCTGAACCGTTGGGCTAACGCTAGCTACTATTAACGTTATGGTACAGCCTGCAGCCATTCACTTTTGTTATTATTTGGTCTCTGTAACTAGATTTTTTTTTTTTACCACGTTAACCGACGTGGTAATAACCGTCTTAGAAACTTGTGGCCCTTCATGGATTTTGTGTAGACATTAAATTCAGCTAACAGCCCAGCTAACACTACCCAGGTTCTGGTGTAAAAAAATCCCCCAGCTGTTGTGATTTTGTAGTTACTGTCGCATTTAATAACACAGAGCAGTTTTTCGTGTTTACCCAGTTTTTCTCTGAATTATATTTACCATCTGAGGCTGTGCTTGGCCCCACAGCCACAGTGTCAATTATGGTTGCATAATCCAAGCTAATGGTCATCTACTTGCTCTAGAGAGTTGTTTTGGTTGGGTTTGTTGGTGCCATGACTTGTGCATTTACCTCATCATTTGGATCTGCAGGCCTTAGTCATACTCTGGATTTATGAAGAAGTCTCTCATCCCAGGGCTGCCCTGAATAGTCATGATCAGTGATCAAATAGAAATCAAGTTGCTGAAGAGAAAGCTAGGCTTGTTCATTAATCAGAGAGAAAAATAATCTTCAACCATTTATAATTTTCACACACAAAAATATACACATTCTCAGTTTCAGGGTCTCAAATGTCCGAATGTGCTGCACATCTTTGTCATCTGTAATACTAAACTGAAAACATTTGGGTCAGACAAAACGACACATTTGGAGATGTTCTTATGGATTCTGAGTAGTTGTGACTGGCATTTTCTTTTACAATTCATACCTCAAGCAATTAATCGAAACAGTAATAGGCGGGTTAATCAATAATGGAAATAATCATTAGATGTGGTCCTTTATTAAAGTGCATTTTCCCCTAAATCAATGTGACTTTCACTTTACCAGAACCTTATAACCCCCTCCATTTTCTTGTGTGGTCCTATTTGGCATCTGTCCAGTCTGCATCAACTGATTTCTATGCTGGATGTGAAACATATACAGGACATTTGATAGGTTTTTTTTTTTACCTCTAGCAAGAGAGGATGATATTCCACTCCATCTTTAAGTGGTGTTAAAACTCAGGGGGGTTGATTGGTAGACTGATCCAGTAGGCTCCCATGTAAATACAAGCTCTCATGTGTGCTGAGATCTCCAAGATGTAGGTTATTGTATGCTTTCAGGAAGTATTATAAGTCTCTCCCTGATGGGAATCTTGTCTCCTTTTTTGTCTAAATGAAGATCAAAACATGATATAGAAAGAAAGCTCATAATAGATTTTGGCACTTCTTGTGAAGCAGAGCAGTTCTTTGTAACCAGACTGCTACTCTCTTCTTTATCTTTCCTTCTTAAAACCTCAACAGTTTTACCGTTTCATCCTCTTGTCAAGGAAATTATCTTTTTTTTAAATTGAAGTGTCACCTTTAGGAGGATACAAACCTGTGGCATGTTTTGCTTTTATACATTTTGCTTTCATTTATTTAATGTCTAGCAGTTATTGGGAATTGAAGTAATGGGTGGAAAACCTGGTCAGGGTGTGAAGCATTACATAATAATGCGTCATTCAGTCATGTGTTTTCACTGTTAAAAAGTTATGTCAGTCCATTCTTAAAGAGCGGAAGTGATCATTTGAGGTTTCCTGGTTTCACCCTGTGCAGACGGCGTCTGGAACACAGCGATGTTGAATATAAACTTAAAAAGCTGTTTCAGGATGTAAGCTTGCAGTCGTGGAAGTTGGTAGCACTGGGAAGAAATAAGGAACTGCACAGAAAATTGGTTTGAAGCCTTGATTTATTGAACTGTTTACAAGGTGCACAACCTTAATTACTTTCATGAAGAAAATTTAAAGATGTAGAGGATTTCCCCTCAAGTAAAATCCTTATTGAATGTACTGTCTAAACAATGCAAAAAAGAACACAGCAATGTATAAAACTTATGAACATGTTGCCTAAATGAAACCTAGATATTTAGAAGTAACATCTATTTTCTTGTCTCAGGTTGTCACAATATCAAGTGTCTGAGTTAATAAAGTTAACATTAAGTCTGCATTTAATCCTAACTTGAGTTGAGCTGAGACTGCAATTGATTAAGTGAGAGTGAAGTTGTAGGGTGCGCAGCTATAACAAACGTTCACTGGTATAACAATATGTACAGGTTCCACCTGCATTAACACCTAAAGTATTTATATAAAGAGAGAATAAAAGCGGGCTGAGTACAGAATCTTGGGGTGCTCCATTAACAGCAGCAAGCCAGTTTGATCTGAGCCCATAAACGTTCATACACTGAATTCTACTTGATAATTAGTAAAGAACCCTACTGCTCAGTCAGACAACTTTATGTTAAGCAACCTTTCTTTCAGCAGGCCATAATCCACAGTATCAAAGGCTTTAGATAAATTAATAAATAAAGCTGCACAGCTATGCTTCTTGCCCAGACTATCAGAACCTTCACTGCAGCAATAATAGTACTGTGCTGCTTCTTAAAACCAGACTAATTCAGTTAAAATTGCATTAGCGTACAAAAACTCTTTCAACTGACTACTTACAAGTGTTTTCAGAATGTTAGCCAGCACAGAAAGATTGGAAATAAGCCTATAATTATTTAAAGAGTCATTGCCACCTTTTAAAAAAGGTATAACAGAAGCTTATTTGCACATATTAGGAATCTCATTTGTTACAAAGGTAAGATTGAAAATGTGTGTGAGAGGAAAAGGAATGAGATCTGCAGCTGCCTTAAAAAAAAGACAATCGTTTGGGCCAGAAGGTTTTTTTTTTACATATTTTATTAAGCATTCATGTACTTCAGTGGAGAAGAATGGCTTACATTGAAAATTTTAAACATCAGTTACACAGTCGGTGACATTTGACATGTTTACAGTTGGTCAAAACGAACAGACAACAAAAGGTTCATTGAAACAGTTCAACATACTGAGTATCAGGCACTGTAGTCAAATTCTTAAAAATACAAGGAGGTTGGTGATTAGTTTTTGTAAGTGGATAAAGTTTTAGTTTATTTCCAGAACTTTCTGGGCTCATTCAGACTGTCAGTGGTAGCTTGGAAGTAGTCTTTTGCTTTAGACAGGAATATACAGGTGTATTAGATTTAGCTTTTTGATATTAGCTGTACATTGATTCCTCAGTTGCTAAAAATGGAGACAGTGTAATCCAGAGCTTCTTACTTGCTTTAGCCCAGGCTTTGTTTTGTTACAGTTAAAACACATTTGTCATTCAAGTCATTCGGAAACCATCTGCTGAGTATTTACGTGGATCACCAGTCAAAATGAAATCTAGTAGTGACATTTTAACATGAAAAATAAAATTGGACTGTGTAGGACTGTCTATAATTTCAGTGAAATCCAAGGAATCGTAGATATTTAAATTCATCAGATTTCTCTGTTAATCAGATCCCATCTTGATTCACGAAATAAAACAATCTCCTCATGATCTAAGTGAGAAAGGTGGCGACAAAGACTTGCTCACTGTTGATGGTGGTCTATAACACTTTCCTAGTATAGAGAAGCTACAGAGTATTTTTAAGATTTAAAATCAAGAGTTCCAACTGTTTGTATATACAATAGACTTAGAAACCAAGATATTAGCATAACATGAATTCCTAATTGTATATGACAACACTTCCAGGGCAGTCGGAATGGAAAACGTTGTTCACAAGTAAAACTGTCTTGGTGTCCAAGATGCATTTTGCAAGTCATATTTCAGATAAAACAGCAATATCAGAATGAGCTGACTTGGCCCAGGTATGAATAAAATCCAGTTTTGGTATAAAGCTACAGCAATTTCAGTGAGTAAAGGCCAGATTGTTCTTTAAATTTTGCAGGTATGTCTATGTGTTTATACTGAGGTCTAGAGTGAGGCCAGAAGTTTATCAGGAGTAATAAAACAATTAAACATTGAAGCAGAAGCATCTACAAGATCTTTAGAATAGTAAGTGGTTTTTTGGCAGTGATTTTGAAGAACCATGAAGTAGTGTAAACATAATGGCATAGACTCATAAGAGGCAGTAGAGTCGTGCAGCCGTATAACAGCAAGGTCCATAATTATTAGAAGTACTGGGGCATTTAGAAGGAATGCCTATCCAAGGTAATGAATCAGCACATGCCTCAGTGGGCTCAGAAAGATAAAGCTCTCCGCATTCCAAAACAGTCAAACTAAATAGAATTAAGGCAACCGTCATAATGATCCAAAGAAATTAAATGTGCTCATGAAATGCAGCTGCAATGTGCAACATTTATGTTGTATTGAGGTTTGCGTTCCCCAGTTTCAACAGTGGGCAGCAGTGTGTTAGTAACGGTCCATTACAGGTAGTGGTCATTATCTATAACTTTGTGCTGCTATGGTCTAGAAGTAATTGCTGGAGGCAGGTGCATTGCGTTACAATTCCAGCATGAAAATGAACAGAAACGGGCCAAAAACTACGGTCACTTTATGTCAGAAGAATTTGTGCTGATATTGCAGAAGCACACAGGTTCAAAAGCACATCAAGTCAGAGTCAGAGTTGGACGGACTGCCATACTTACCCTGCAAATAGAAACAATGAGCAGATCTATAATCGACTCCCACGTGCTTGACAGCAGCCACAAAATAGCAGAGAAGCACTCTAATGTTAAGTGAAATACCAGACAGGCCACGGCAGCAGTGCAGGGATGAATGGGCAGTCATCATCTTTGTTGTGAATCAGACGGCTTTGTAATCTAGCAGGTGGTGGCATGTAGACTGCAGCAAGCGTCAAGGTTGTTAACACCCAGTGCTTACTCATAAATTAAGAAACAACTGTAGACACTGGCATGCTAAATTGAATTAGAGTAAATCTTTACATGCATTTTAAATGGTGTGTGATGATTCAGCTTAGACATCACCTGAAATGACCACTGAATCAGAGCAGCATCTAGGCAACAAAGTTTAGCCTCATTCAACATCTGCAGCTGACACTTCAGCTGATGTTTCCATCTATTCTGAGTGGAAGATTTCTTAAATCACCTCGCACCATATGAGACTGGAAAGCTCTTGTGGACTGCAGAACATTGCATTCAAAAATACACAAACACACTCGGACACACCTCCATGAGGACAGGAACCCATTCCTGATTAAGATTTAATTACTCTGCAGAGGTGCTGAATAATGCAACCTTAGTCAAAGTGCATGAAAGAGTTGTATTTTTAGACATAAACTTGGGAAGGTGAATAATCTTATTTCTGACATTTTGTGTTGACATAAAAACAAAAGCATATAGGGTAAGAGATATAAATAAAAGGTATTTTGTAAAATGGTGGTTGAATGAAATGTTACTGAAAACAAGATCAGTGACTGTTCTATTTTTAAACCAAGCAAATTTGACCCCCCCCACTGCCTAACAACCATGCTTTAGCCTCCAGTATAACCCAGACATGCTAATAATGCATAATAACGAGATGGCCTAACAGACTACTAACACAATAAACCACGACTGACTAGACGTCCTGACATGGCAGCATAATGAAATAAGACAAGGGCACAAACAGTGAGGAAACTCGGACATACTAGAGTGCTGTTTATCAACTTCCTGCTGCCAGAATGTAGGACTGTTTCCCCTGAGGGAGCTGCACTCACATCCTCATCAATCAGGTGGAAATCTCTTGCAACCATTAAAGTAGACTGACATTTACTCTTTGGGTATTTACTGACTTTTAGATCTGGTTTAGTTGAGCAATATAGGATATTTTACAACAAGATTCTTGTTTGTAGTTTGTTTCCTCTGATTTCTAATAATTATTTACCATAATTTCTGGACTATAAGCTGCTACTTTTTTTGCTTCATGCACACACCCTCATCATGGAAAACACACAATGAAATGCATATGATCTTGTTAGAGACACCTCACCTCTTCTATCCCTGCAAAGTTGTGCACTGCCGGCTTCTTCAGTGAGCCCTGCAGTTTTTTGTCATCAGCTGTTGCTGTTTTGTGAACAACCTTCTTCTTCCTGCGGGCTGTTCCCTGAGGAAAGAACAGGTGTGGATGCCAAGAAAGGATCAGATGGCTGAATGTACCAACATGTGTGAAACATACCGCAATTTCTGCACTATAAGCCGCTACTTTTTTCGCTTCATGCACACACCCTCATCATGGAAAACACACGACGAAATGCATATGATGCAGTCTGCTTTCAAATTAAAGGCAATTGATCTGACTGCCAAAATATCTCATGTTATAACATGGACACCTGCGGCTATGTACAAACTGTTTTTTTGTTTTAAATTTAGTGGGTGTGGCTTATATTCAGGTGCACTCAATAGTCCGGAAATTACGGTATTTTGTTCTGTATGAAGGTGTTTTCACAGCATACGTTTTGGTACCAGTAATAAAAAGACAGATGTAATATCCTTAAAGTGCATTACCTTTTTTTTTTTTTTCACATTCATCTGAATCGAGTGAAAATGGGACAGGAAGTGGTGTCTCTCAAATTTACCCCGCCCCAATGACATTCTGCTGCCTACAGCCCTTCTGTTGTTACTACAGCTTCTCTACCCTGTGCTGTCAAACTACGGTTTGTAAAGCTGCCTCAGGTTATATAAGGTTATAAACTGAGGTTATAAGCTGCCAAGGTTATAACAGTGTTTTTCACACCATGAGTTGTTAATTCGAACAGCCTACCATGGAGGACTTAAAAGTCCAAAACAGTGGCTGCTAGACTGAAGCGATGGCCTTCTTTTGCACAGAGAATGGGGCAAAGAGAGAGGAAAAAACCAGGGTTAACACCAGTTTGGCTTTTTTGAGATGGAGAGTGTTAAAAGCAGCCAGAAGACTCGGATTGGATTCACATCTTCCTTCTGAATGTGTTAGCATCTAAAGCTAATGTGTTTGTTTTGGTAACATGAGCAAACTAGCATGGTCATGATTTTACTTTTGTATTGAATTAATGTGATTTTCATTTTGGGAGTATGTCAGGGTTTGTGTAATGTTGGTCAGGTAATGCTAGGTTCAGACCGGAGGCTGCAATTTGTACAGTTTGTCACAATCAGGCATCCATAATTTACGTTGTTGCTAAGAAACAGGATTTCATGGGCGGGGCAAAGAGTGGTTAGGAGCAGCATATGGTGTCTCTTTTTTTTTTTGTCTCACTAAACCTTCTAGCAGCTGGAAGGACATTGGGTAGAATAGCATTTGTAGACTTTTTGTAGTCTCTGCAATTTTCTGTTCTGTTTGGCTCTGATAGCAGTTTTCTCCTTCAGCCTCATCAGTGGTGTGGCTGAAATGTTTTAACCTCACAGTACATAATACACACTGCATGTGTAACCTCATGTCCTGTGCCTTCTCAGTTGTGCTGACATTGTGTCCGTTCTTGCATTTTAAACTAAGCTGAAAATGTGCTGACGCTGCTCCTTTCTTCAAGGCCTTCGCTCTGTGGAATATTTGGTCTCTCGTGCAATCCATGGTTGCACTTGTACTTATGAGAATGACCCTGAAGTTCAGCCTGGCTGTTACTCATTTGAAGCCCCCCACACACATGGACACACACACACACACACCTCCTCATGCGCCAGCACATCGCATCCTCACTACAAGGTCTCCTCATCAGCAAGGACAGACTGGGCAGGTTTACAGTGCAGTGATTCAGGCTTTAGCTGTTTTTCATTCATGGTTCTGATTCCCTTGTTGAACTTGGATGGCTAATGGTTGACTATGTATGTTCATATGGAATACGCACTCTGCTGAGTACTCAGTAAGCTGGATACTGTACTGTACTATCAACTAAAGCAGGCTGTTGCTCCTGAACTACACTGCTCAAAAAAATAAGACATTCAACTATGTTGTGTTCCCTTTATTTTTTTTGAGCAGCATATATCCTAAGATTTAGTTCTGATGCATCTTCACTATGATGGAAAGAAACATTAACTTTGAGCTCTCAAGACTGTGACTGTGTTTATTTCAACACAGCTGTTTATCATATCCTCGAAAATAGATTATTTTTATTACTCACTCGGTTGGGAGTTAAGGTACACCCAGCTAAAAGTCTAATAAGCATTCTTTCAATAAATCCTTCCTTCCTGAAGGTGATAATGTAGGAAAGTGTAGATCAAATGTCAGAAATCCTTGACAAATCTGCATTAAAAAATTTCAGAGTCCAAGGGGAAATCTTCAAATTGCTTGTTTAGTCTTTCTAACACTGGAAACCCCAGTCAGTTTCCTACCATGTTTGACAAAGAAAAAGCACCATATCGTCACAATTGAGAAGTTGGAATCAGAAAATGTTTGGCGTTTTTGCTTGAAATAATTGTAGGCCTGCAACTAATGATTATTTTCATTATCTCTAACAGCGCTAATTGATTTATCATAGTTGCTGATGAATTTTCTGGCTATCAACTAATCTGTTTGTCTCATTTTAACTCCTCTTGAGAGTATAAAGATTGTATAAAGTTTTAACTTCTAGATGGATTGTGAGGTTTGATGTTTTGAAGATAGTATTTGTGTTGCAAAAATGGGATTTGAGAAGCATCCTTCATAACTGAGAACCTTGGTTTGTGCGATAAACTTCAGGTGTTGACACTTTTCACCCACGAGCGCAGTATCAAGCACAGAAAAAGCACTCGGCTTCAGTCAGTCTTGAGATTCAGTCTTCATTTTTCAGTAAACTGAAGTTCATGTATGTTAAGTATTTATTTAACTCATTGTATCACCTTGTAATGTAGTAGCATGCTTTGCCACGCAAGTTGAGAAGCAGCTCGTTACTGAATGGTGTTCCCCTGCTCTAAGGTGTGGGCGCTGGGCGCTTGCCAGACTGGGTGAAGTGAGAACTGAGAGGGAAACCTGTTGAGAAGAAACACCACCTGGGACTGCTGAGGAGGGCCTCTGTGTAGGTGAGGACTGACGGAGGACGTAGTCTTACAGTACTTCATGGCTCGGTGTCTCTACAGGATATACAGATTGCAGACCATTTCCACTACATTGCAGTTATAAAACAAACAGTTCCTCATGATAAAGTTCACAATACCACCATAAACTACAGAACAGACCAGTTTTATTGATATGAGTCAATAAAATTGAATTGTAAATTTAACTAATATGACTTTGCATATTATTTTACAACTGTGTTCAATTTCACACTGAGAAATATAAATAGATATAAGGGTGAAGAGAATATGGAAAAGTATGTACTGTCAAAACAAATGTATGTGTTAAGTGAACACTGGGTATAGCCTACCAAGGAATATTTATATTTTGTTTTAACATAATGCTAAAAGTCTTATAGTAGGACAAATTTTAATTGGTAGATCTACTAAGAAATGGTGAAATTCAGCACAGTGTAGATAGGATCTTTATGTGTACAAAATTAAGTCCTTTATCTTTCCCCTAACCATTGTCCTTGATCTAAATTAAATTAAATGGGAGCATGCCATGAAAAATTTGGCAAGTAACCACAGCACTAGCTAAACTTTGGTTATTTAATCATGTGCAGACACCTGGGTGGGTGTGACATCTAGAGCTGAAACAATTAGCTGATCACTAGATAATTAATCGGCAGCTATTTTGACAATCTTGGCTGTGACCTTGCTACAGTATTCCAGATCATTAAATTTTTTTAACCAAAAAGTCTCTTTGAGCCATTCATGTACTTGTCTTTTACTAACCATGAGACACCTGAGTGATCACAAAAGAGAGGACTGCTTGGGAGGAAAATGAGAAATCGGAGTCGAAGAGAGTTGAAGGATATTCCTGCTTAATCGAATCCTATTAAACAGAGTAGAGGACAAAGGTATGATAAATAAGATATGAGTCAGGCTGTTGGGGCATCTGCAGACAGTATGGAAATGTGAATGGATTTCTCTTCTTGCTTCAAGGTTCACACGGCTGTTGGCAGGGTGGAGCTTCCTGACTCATGGAGAATTACTTCCAGGCCGAGGCCTTCAACCTGGACAAGGTTCTGGATGAGTTTGAGCAGAACGAAGGTGAGCTGCTGCGCTAGCTTTCATGAATGTGGAGATGAGACAGACACAAACAGTGAGTCATTGAAAAGATGGATGGAACAAGGTGTCACTATGAGACCACTGAACTTTTAGAAGAGCTGTAATTAGGATGTCATTATGCAACCCATGAGTAGGTCATCAAGGTGTCAAGACAATCAGCTGTACAGTTGGTGCAAGGCAAGAGCATTGTCGTTTTTTTAACACTTAATGCTCACAATATTTAATGAAATTATATTAGGTCTTTTTTTTTCAAGCTGGTTCCACGGTTTATTTATGGTAATTGTTAAGTAAACACTTCATTATTGAGCTGTGTATCTTTAGGCTTCCAGCTCTCCAGTATAAAAAGGTCTCCTTATTATGGAGGAAAGACCCCACCCCCTGGATTTATCATAGATGACCCTAGAAAAATGACAGGCCTGCTGATTCACACACACAAATCATGTGTTTTGTTGGTGCTGTGAGCTTGGTGTGTATTTTTGCTGTAGTAATTATCTGCATGTCCTTTGCCAGAGATCCAGCCTGGCAGATTAACTCTGTGTGCGCTTGGACCTGGTACAGCTTGTACTAAAACAGCTTAGAATTTATTCCGGTGGAGGGAGGAGAGCACGCTACAGTAGCTGACATGGCTGTGTGTGAAAATCATGTTGAATAATTATTATAACAATTTCCGTTCAAATTGCACAGCATCCACATGTCAACTTGACTGATGCTCCCAGGGGTGACCCAACCGTTTGACCCACTTTCCTAGAATTTCCCAGTGCATCCACACACTAATTTCCCAGTCCATGCCAGCCTCATTTCTCATTGTGTCCCCTGTTTTTTTTTTTTTTTCCTGCCATTTTTATCTTTTTCAATCACATGGGAGTGTGTATCTTTGTATCAGTTCTCTGTGGCAGTTCATTTGAGGTTCCTTTTGTAAGTCCTCATCCTGTTTTTCTGTTTCATGTTTTAACTGTGACAAGAAACTGACCAGAAAACTGAGGCTAAGAGGTTTAGTACAACAGATATAGATGACGTTAAATGCAAAGTGCAGCAAAGCTACTGTTGAATCTTTGTGGAACAATTAGTCGATCAATTGGCAACAATATTGTTTAATTGTTGTAATTTTTACACACATGCTCTCATTCAAGCAATGGTGAGCAACTGCTACTTTTCTAAAGGCGTCGGCTTGAAGTCTGTGATGTGCATCTTTTCACAATCCAGCTCCAATAGGATAAACTGGTATCCTTTCACACAGAAAGACTAAGGTTTTAAAACAGTGCAAAGCGCAAGCCATCTGATTGTTTTCCTCTTTTCTGCCTGTGCCAGATGAGGTGGACATTCCCATTCTCTCAGAAGCCAAGTGGACCCAGATCCTGGCCCCTCCTGCCCATCTACTCTCTTTAAACCCCGCCCTGGCCCACACAGACCTCAGCCCTCGGGACAGTTCCCTGCCATTCAAGGCTCTCTCAGACTCCTCCTCCAGTGCCTCCACAGGGACAGAACCTAAAAGACATCCCAGTCCTGAACCTTCATCCTGGGCAGAGGAGAGGCCGGCAGATATCCACAGCCCACCACTCCCCCAGCCCAACATTGGCAAACTGGTGGGGACCGACGACCTCTCGCCGCACCCTGTGACGGCATGCGGTGCCGTGGAGAATGGCTGCCCTGCAAGCCCACAACGTGATCTGCTCACTAAGGAGATAAGTTCTCCTCCCCACAACAGGCCCAGTCCTTCCGATGAGGAGGGTGAACCTCCTCTGGAGGGGAGAGCTGCCTCAGCAGGAGGAGGTGGAGGCTCCACTGTCTGTCACACTCTCTTTACCTTTGAGGTTGGAATAGGACAAGACGAAGCACAGTCTGCGAAGATTCATCCAAATGTGGAAACAATAACACAGAATGAGGAAGGTGTCAAAGAGGAGGCCAGTACAACTGCTGTACAGGACTTTGGTCAAAAAAGACAAACAGCAAATTCAAACGAGGAGCAGGGTGGAACTCTCCTGAACGGTGGGAGGGATGTTAGTACTGGTTGTAAGGCGGAGGAGAATGGTGTATCTGTACCTGATGTGATCGGCGTGGAGAAGGAGAGGAGCTGTAGTCCAGAGGGACAGATAGACCAGCTCCTCAAGATAATGAGCCTTCCCAATGGTTTGGAGCACCAGAGCGGTAATCATTCCAAACTAAAAGAGACAGAAGAGAAAGAGGAGGGGGTGGGTTTTTCTCCATGTCCTGTCCCCTCCAAAGAGGACTCTGTCACTGAGGAGAAAGAAATGGAGGAGAGCAAGCAGGAGAGCAGTGATGGAGCAGCAGTGGGGTCAAGTAGCAGCCAACCAAAAGTCACCAACAATCGACTGCAGCCGGTCAGTGTTCCCTATGGAGGCGCACGACCAAAACAGCCAGTCAACCTTAAACTCCAGATTCCACAGCCACTGTTGGGACAGGTCCAAAACCAGCTTGGCCTGTCCACCATCACCAAGAACAAGAACCTTGAGAACCAGTGTCGGAGAGGCACACCGTCTGAAACTACACTCTGTGGGACTGATCAGAGTGCAGCTGGGAATGGAGATGGTCTTGTCCACTCTCCTTCTCTGATGCCATCAGAGAGCCCAGACAATGACCTCCAGGCAGGCCAGCAGGACACTTTGTGCAGGAAACCTGCCAGCTCCCTGGGAGAGGTTGCCCCCGTGTGGGTGCCCGACTCCCAGGCTCCCATATGTATGAAATGTGATGCCAAGTTCACCTTCACCAAGAGGAGGCACCACTGCAGGGCCTGTGGCAAGGTTAGTGGAGCATGACAGTTGCTTTTAAAGTGATAATCCCCAACACTGATGCCTTTGTGCTGGGTTTTTAACTGTGAGCGAGTAACCTTTTAGGATCTTTGGCGCACACGAGTTGATTTCGACACTTATCTGGAATCGTCAATGTTAAGGTCAAGTGGTGCAGTGAAGACAATATACACTGCTTTTAACAAAAATGGATAAAGATGTGCTTAAGGAAAGGCAAACATGAGAACAAGGTGAAAAGCTATGAGAAATACACTGCAAATGGTTCAGAAGAATATTTCCTCAGTGAGTTTATAGAAGCTTTGTTTGACTCTGTGGAGTAAGGAGGTGAAATTAAATGCATTCCTTTTTAGGCCGTTCTTGGCAGATTAACTCAGCGAGTGTGCAGGTAGTTTTCCAGCATCATGGCCACCCACACATGCAGTGGGGAGTCCACTTTAAACTGAAGATGTGGACACTGCAATGGAAAATCGCCGGACTGCTACTTAATTTCCCATGGTGGTAAACAAGCACACGCTTTGCCACTTGAGCAGGGAGGAGCTGGCACTGCAGTAACTCTGACACCGGCACTGAGCCGCAAACAATAGACACAGCAGGATCCTCAGTGCATCTGCTGCCAGACTGGTAGATCCACAACCCAGCTTATAACGGTGCAGTGAGGGTCTAAAATTAAAAGGATCCTCCACCCACTGTCTAATCATTAACTAAATATATGTTATTGGATAATGATGTGTAAAGAGGTGCTAATCCGTTGAAAGTAAAGTGCCCTGTACACAGCTGCAGCTCGTTGAAGCGCTTGCTAAGAACAGGAAATCAATACCCATAAAATGGAACATTTGCTGCATATTCAGTCCCAACTTCTAACTAGTCTTAGTCTTTTCAGTTCTTCACTATTATAAAATCTTCACAGTGAATGTGAAATAATTAGGAGCATGAATTGTACATGTTGCTGTGTCTCCTTGTGGTTTTTAAGGTATTCTGCGCGGCCTGCTGCAGTCTGAAGTGTAGGCTCATGTACATGGAAAGGAAGGAGGCCCGCGTCTGTGTCACATGTCATTCTGCTCTGACGTGCGGTGAGCATCTTTGCATGTAGGAAGTCATTAGCAAAATGAGTTACAAGATAAGACAGTATTTGGGAATATTATTAATCCTGGCCTGTGTCAGCTTTAACAGCATTCATCTGTTTTGTTCCAGTGATACTTTTACTACCATTGTATTTCTGTGTGTAGATTTGGCATTTATTAAGATTTATGTACAAGAAGTACAGGTACCTGTGTTAAATATGCAACAGTTGTGTGTAAGGCTAGATGCGTTGCTTACAAGATGAATTTTCCAGTCTGCATAGTTTTTTTACCTTGTACGCAAACATTTCCTAACTTATGCCAATGATCTCTCTTGCAGCTCAGTCATGGGAGTCGCTGGTCACTGGAAGCAATCAGAGTCCCAACCCCAACAACCCAGCGGAGTACTGCTCCACCATCCCCCCTCTGCAGCAGGCCCAGGCCTCTGGGGTACTCAGCTCCCCTCCACCTACCGTCATGGTGCCTGTGGGAGTCTTGAAACAGCCTGGCAATGAGGGTATGACCTTCATCGAGAATAAAAATCTTATAATAAACCTCTGACACTTATTTTTCACATTTTTCAGTGAGATCCTGTTTTTACTTTTTTAAAGTAGGGTTTTTTTTTTTGGCTACTCCTGAGCAGAGATTATTATTTTTTTTTATCTTGTACCGATAACAGATTGCACTTCTCATACTTGGGCTTGTGGTGTTTCACATTGAAGTAAAATGCAATTTTGTCTCGCTAACATTTAGGGTCTCTATCACGAGAGCAGAGAAGGGTGTGGTTTGCTGATGGGGTCCTACCTAATGGAGACACAGCAGAGTCCTCCAAACCTCCGACCTCCAGCCCAGCCCCCTCGCAGTCACTGGCCATCTCTGCGTATTCGAACAAATCCTCCACCTCTGACTCCTCAGAGGTAGGCCTGGCACAACAAACATGGAGCCACAGCTGATGCTATCAGGTTAGATTGTATGGTCATATTAGCTTCTCCAGAGTCAGCTGAAAGAAGCCACAAAGAACTCTTTCTGTGGGATTCTTGGTGATTTACTGGGTCATAGACTGGAATAAACAGGCAAGAAGCAGGGTCCAAAAGAAACGCTAGTTGTTTGCTTATTTAGAGTTAGAAATACCAGTAGACAGATGTGCCCAAAGTTTGAATGTACTCTGCTTTGTTCACTGTAAGCCAACGTAAGTGACCACTATTATAGTGCTTTCCCACCGAAAGTACTGTGTATACATGGGTATTTATACCCAGCTAAACTGGCCTTTAACTGGCTTCTGACAGGATTCCCACTGCTGACCACCCCGGCTCTCCAGCAGATGAGCTTCTTGCCCCTCTGGTACGTCATCTTTGACGTTATCATGCTGGTGATGTCAAATACCTGTGCTGGTAAGCAGATTGGTAAACAAAGCAGCATGGAAGGTAGTGAGACGGTCAACGGTATTTCTTCGTGTTTACTTTTGTTATCTTCCAAAGTGTTGAAACTCGGCGTAGACTGAACTACTGTATATTAGAGTGTTGATTGAACAAAGACGGATGGAATTTATGGCTTGGACGGCAAAGAATTGCTGAAATTATCAACGGAGGAGACAGCCCTTCATTACCTCCTTGTTCGCAATTGCTGAAGTGATGACGACGTGCATCATTGTGTATGTTCGCGGGTTTAGCTGAGTTTGGCTTTCCCATTGTTTCCAAGCCAAGGCAAAGCAGATGATGACCCATGTTGATTGCACAGTTATTTGTGCCGGGTCATTTGTCCCTGTAGTTACATTATCACAGCGGTCAAAAACCAAGGTGTGGCGAGTTTGCATGGGGTTTTTGGACAGTGAGAAATGTGCTTTAGAGTTTGGCTGTTTCTGTGTTTGAGCTGTACACTCAGTGAACTTGAATGCCAACTGTCAGGATGATTCAAGGCCTGTTGAGCAGAGTCATTGTTGAAGCGTTAAATGGCTCACTGACGCTATGCAGACACAATTTGAGCAAAAATTCAGACACTTCACGTGGTGCTGAAAGTCATACTGGGATGGACTTAATAATGCAGGGATCCGAATTTACTGCCAAAGGTTTCACTCAGTGTAAGGTGACTACTGTGGTTCTCCAGTGGCAGTAGAGAAGTGGTGAACCTTTAATACTGATTTCTTTCTAACAGGCTGTGTGGGTTAGCACCTTTTATAATGTATAGAATAATAGAATTTTCAGTTCAGGCAAGTAGTAATGTTAAAAGGGCAGTCAGTTTTACATGTCAAAATTTATTTAGTTGTCACAAGGAGTACTACTAAGCCTATGAGTAACCTCACTGTGGTCTTTACAAATTACAAAAAGTTTGCATTACAGTCTGGCAGCATGAAAAAAAAAACAGCTGAGGAGGGTCCAATAACACATAAGTGTCTGAGTGAATTTCACTTGTACTAGAAAACTAAATGTCAGGAAATCTTTGCCTTTTCAGTGTCGATCCTGACTGTCCAGGTTTAGATTAACAACAAATAAAATATGTTGGCTTAATTGCTTTTTGGTCACTATTGGAAGTGTAACAAATATAAAAACGACATTGGCAGACTGTCATCTGTTGATATTGTGGTGGTGAATGTGTTAGCAAACAGATGCCTATTTACACATCCAGAAGTCACTGGCTAACATTAGCATTCATCCGGAATTATGTTTCTGTTCCCTCGATGAAAGTAAGTCTAATTGGCACTTTTGTTTTAGCTGTTCTGGTCTCCTCCAACTCCTGAAATAAATATCTGGCTCTTCCAAATGCTCCACCCTGCTCTACCAGCTAGGTGCTAACTTTGTCTGCTGTTTGGTGCAGGGTATGTAGCATACAGAGCTATTTTAATCAAAACAGCTGCCTGTGTTTGTAGGAGAACAGCTTGAACAGGGACCAGTAAGGGTGAACCATATGGTGAAGTTGCAGGATATGACATGCTTCATCGGGTACTTGCCACTGTCAGGGTGTTTAATTCAGTTCGTTTTAATGCTTTGAAATATGTATCTGACTTATATTTTTACAGGGTTTGATTTATATTTATTACTTGCTTGACTAGTGGGAAGGTGTTTGTGTTTGTGTTGTCATGATTGATATTGTTACCAGGGTACCCTTGGAAAAAGAGATTTTTAATCACCACGAAGTGTTCCTGGTTAAAGAAAATAACTAAAATAAAACCAATGAGCTGAGAGGTGCTATAGAGCTGATGTGCACTGTGGATTTGTGGGGATGGTTCTATGTAGGTTCATCACTACCAGCAAACCCCCTTTTTTCATTTTCAGTATACAAATTTAGCTTTAATGGAAAGCAATGCTAAATGACTGGACTGTCCCTCTTAAATACACCAATTCTGGGTGTCGGGTGTTGTTTTCTACTGCTGTCATTTGTGCAAAAGGTACAACCTGACAGTGTAGAAATACTGGCCAACATTGCTGTTAATTTAAATGGCTGGTGGCAGTGTTTGTTAGTAGCCAAATTGGGATTAAGAAGCTAGACAGTGATCACTCTGGGCTTCTCCTTAAATCTGTACATTATTTTAAACAAATCAGTTCAACCAGTCGAAGCCTGAATGGCACCTGGTCAATTTAGTATGCAGAATTACACATTTTGTTTGTGGATATAGGTGTAGATGATGACAGATTTGGTTGCACACCCGCACCTGTTACTTACTACACCTGTTGCACCCATGACCATGCTTTTGGTATTCCATCCCACTGTTTTATAACCTATAGTACATCTAACTCCACCCTCCTCTCTACTCCCAGGCAGCCCATGCCCCTGTTGCCCCGGTGGGCAGCCCCGTGGGCAGCTCCCTCAGTCTGATCCCGGAGGACGGACTCCCTCCCATCCTCATATCCACTGGAGTCAAAGGAGGTACGGGAGGCCACATCACAGGTGCTTGCCCTCATCCTCACCGTTCTGCTGCTTCCCCATTGCTCCGTCAGTTGCTGTGTTTGTGCTCATGAAGTGTGCTTATTAATATCACGGCTCATGTTACGACCACTCATTGCCAACAAAGAGATACTGTGATGATGTTTTGAATTTTGTTGGTCTCTAGCTGGTGTTAACTTGGTGTGATCATTTCCCTCTCCTACTGCCCTTGTAACTCCTTCTCCATCTTCACCTCACCCCAATTCTCACTGACATCTCCACCCTTTCTCATCATTGCTTCCTCCTGTATAACTAACTTTACCTCAAATCCTCCTTTCTCCCTTTCTTTTACTTCCCTGACCCACCTGCAGACTACGCTGTGGAAGAGAGGCCGTCAGAGATTGTCCTCATGCAGCAGCTGGAGGAGGGAGGTCCAGACCCCCTGGTCTTTGTGCTCAATGCTAATCTGCTCGCCATGGTCAAGCTTGTCAACTGTGAGTTACCCAGCCAGCTGTCTTTTCCTCACAATTTTTAAGCACTGATTTGAGGACACTGAGAATGTATTGAAAGGTTTTTGGAAGGAGCAGTAATGAGTGTGCAGACCCACTTTTAATGTATAATTTCCTGATGATCTAAAGGAAAAATAACTATTTGCACAGTATTTGTTTTTGTTTTCTTTTCATGCCTGATTTAGTTTTTTTTTCCCCCCGGACATACTCAAAATTCAGACTTGTTTGCTTTTCTTGCCTCTCGAGTTGTTTTATAACCCTTTTCAGACATAGGATGTTCAGATTTAGATGATATTCATTCAGACATGACAGGACCATTACAGAAAATAGGGGACATCTAGTCACAGCTAAGAAATTAAACATTTGTTAATATGAAGTAAGAGTATTTTCTCTCTTCTAACAGGTGTTATCAGTGATGCATTTTAACACTTATTTTGCTAATGAAGCCTTAAGCTACTTAAGTAATGACCAGTGTGGGTGGCAGAGATGTTCTTGCAATGTGAGTCTACTGTTTCATTTAATCATTTATTACAGAACTCTGCAGCCTATTGTACAATCTTCAACAGTGAACAAGCACAGAACAACAAGACTTTAAAGCTGGGACTTAGATGATCTCCTGTTTGCTCACATGCTTAAGATTTTACTAGATGTTGATTTATTCACGTATGGATGTAGCATCGATGACATTTTTAAATGGAGACAGCTGGCCTAATTATTGCTAATTTTGTACGAGGTACCAGCACTGTGACGGGGAAAAAGACTGATCTGACTTGACAAGAACTGTACCTATTTACTCACTTAGTGATTTGTGGTTTATTCATGTGATTTTTGCTGTTTGTGCATAGGATGTTTAAGAAGTAAGCTTATAGGGTGGGACAAGAGGTGCACTGAATCTTTGTTTAATCTAGTGCTGCTGTTTTGTTCATTTAAAAGCATTCAATTCAGGCTTGAGCTGTGCTCAAGAATATGACTAGGTTCTTGACTCTGATGTGTAATTTTAGTTTAATTTATTTGGCACAATGTGAGAGCAGACCCCAGGTCACTCCATCTATAAAATGCCCATGACAACACAAAGTCTAAGACCTATTTCCACTGTGGTCCTTGATGCAGGAGTCCAAGTGCATCATACGATCAGTCCAATCCTCATGCTTGTCTGATATGACACTTGTTTTCTGCTCTCTCTCTCAACCACAGACGTAAACAGGAAGTGCTGGTATGTGACGACGAAGGGGATGCATGCCGTTGGCCAGGCAGAGGTGGTCATACTGCTCCAGTGTCTCCCTGATGAGAAGACAATCCCTAAAGACATCTTTACCCACTTTGTGCAGCTCTACCAGGAGGCCCTCAGTGGTAAGAACACAACCAGCAACCAGCAACTCCACAAGGAGGCTCACTGTGAAACCAGTCCACCTCCACTATGGACCCCTCTTTGGGGAGATAGCTCATTAGTAGTTCTCTTTAGGTCCACAGGTGAGTCCACCTGTCTCAGTCAGCCGCTGTCCGTTACAATGAGCTAACCCCAAAGCAATGTTAGGTAATGCAAGAGGAAAATGTTCCAGCTCTAGTTTTTGTTCTGTAGAGACGGCAGGTGCTCCCAGTCGTTCTCTGTTTGGAAACCAGGTTACTGTGCACCGCTGCTGAATTGTCTGCCTTTTTCAGACAAAACGGTCCAAATATTAGCATCCTGCTGTCAGGTCACCTCCCTCCAGGCGTGACACAGCACAATCACTTCCCTTGCATTTTTAACTCGTATGCTACAGAGCAAACAGGGTTAATATTGGTAACTTTAACGACTGGCTCCTTCAGACAGTTTCTTTTTTCAGATTCACACTGGAGCAGTTTCAGGCTGCTGGAAGGGAGCCATTATTGTGTGGGTCGTCCATGATTAAGCTGCCGTCAGTCAGGTCTCGAGAAGAAGTGCCGGCTTCAGCAAGTCCCAGCCACCAAGTTTTGTCTTATCATTAGGGTTGTTGTGTTGTGTGGCATCTAATGTCTCTCCAACAGAAAATTAGTAACAGGAACCCTTTGTGGGTAATGTGAGGTTGTAGTACAAGCAGCAAGGTTTTATTCACTCTTGTACAGACTAAGCACGGTGAACAGCCAGGATTGCACTGAGCCTCTGCCTGTCATATCTATCTCCCTGTTCTGAAGATGAGAACCTCTGCTTTTTCCTCCTCTGCTTCTTATTTGTGTTCATCATCTTCATTTTAATCCCATCTCCCAGTTTTTTATATTTTGTACCCCACACACCTACTAAACGACCCCACTCTCCTGCTGTGTCCTTCCTCTCCTGCTACACCAGCCCCTCATCCTCCTCACACCTCCTGTATCATTAACCTCTCTTTTCTCTCTCTCCCTCCTCGTCTCCTAAAGGCAACGTGCTGAGCCACCTGAGTCACTCGTTCTTCACGCAGAGCTTCCTAGGCAGTAAGGAGCATGGTGGATTCCTCTACATCAGCCCCTCCTTCCAGTCGCTGCAGGACCTGCTGCTGCCAAACCCACCCTACCTCTTTGGCATCCTGATACAAAAGTGGGAGACGCCCTGGGCTAAGGTCTTCCCCATCCGCCTCATGCTGCGGCTGGGTGCAGAGTACCGATGTGAGTTATGACTACTGGGGTTCGGTGAAAAGCTGCAGAAACTGAAATTCAAAGTCCATGTTTGATCTCAACCATTATAAAATAATCGCATCTGACAGAAGATGGACCACTAACTGTGTCAGATTTACAGAATTTCTTTTAGGGCAAAGATCACTGCTGTCAGACCTTAAAACCAAAACATCAAGTTAAATTTGGCATGAGCAGAGTTTGCATCTTTCCTCATTAGATTAGATTCGTATTGTAAAATATTAAATCTGGATTGAGCTACGGAACTTACCCTTCTCTCACAGCCAGACCTGCAACCTCTTGTCTGCTCTCATACAATGTATTAACAAAGCCACATAAGCTGTTACACACAGAATGTTAGCACCACCATGACATTAGTCCACTGCACATACAGTGTAGTTCTCTGTGCTCTCACCTCTTACTTTAAGCAGACTGCAGCAGAAAGTTGGGAAAATTGTCAGTGTAAGGATCCTTGCTGAACTGCAAACTGAGGCTGAGATGCATTTTTATTGCTAATAAGAGTTTTGGCAGGATCTTATTTCCAGAAGTTTGTTGAGATAAAGCTAAAAATAGTCATGTAAGGAGCTTTGGCTGCTCGAGAAAACAGCAGCCTTATTTTTCACCTGAGGATTAAGAGCGTTCCTCCTCACAGCACAGTTGGAAAACACAGGAAATCTAATTGGTGCAGGTAATAAAAACATGAAACGCCTTACTAAACTGAAAATGATAAATAAAACAATAAAATAATGAGGAGGAATACTGTTACAACAGCACAGACAAAAAATTAAAACTATAACTATGCTGTTGTGTGACCAGTTTTCTGCTACTTGCTATAGTCAGTGCTGAACCCAAAACACCAAAACAGTTTATGAATTGTCATTATTCTGCAGAAGTACTTGATCTATATCCATGACAACAGAGGAGGACAGTTGATGAACAATAACAATTAGCCTTCACATTAAAAATATCATCAGGGGAAACAATAAAAGCATGTTGGTAGTGGCGCATTACTGCTGTGCATTTAGCCTTCAGTAAACATTTTGTTTTGCAGTTTATCCGTGTCCACTGTTCAGCGTTCGCTTCAGAAAGCCACTCTTCGGAGAGACTGGTCACACTATCATGAATCTGCTTGCTGTAAGTGCTTTGTTTTTTCTCCTGTGTTACATTTCTGATTATGTTAATGGTGAAGAGCTCTGCTGTGTGCAGAGGGAAAGTGACAAATCAAATCAAATTTTAAATCAAATCTTATTTGTATAGCGCCAAATCACAACAAAAGTCATCTCAGGACACTTTACAAAGTAAGGTCTAGATCTTACTGTTATCAATATTATTACATAGGGAAAACCCAACAAATCCCCCTTGACCAAGCACTTGGCGACAGTGGGGAGGAAAAACTCCCTCTAACGGAAGAAACCTCCGACAGACCCCGGCTCTTGGTGGGCGGCCTTCTGCCTCGACCGGTTGGGGTGAGTGGATAGAGGAGAGACAAAAGAAGAAAAGCAACAAGACACAACAATCA